AAATTTTGACTGTTACGAGTACGTTGCCCCAAATAGTCAAGGAATGCTAGTTGCTTGACGTGCCAGGGGAGTTGTTGCTGTATAGTGAAAATTAATATTGCTTTTGCTCACATGGGCAGTAGCCTGTTTTTATTTCATGCCAAGGTGATGAGGACTAGTAATTGTATGTTATGTTGTCCATGAACATCTGCCTGAAGACTGTTGCAGCAGTTCATCTATCACATAGGTACTGTATTTTTCTTTTTTTTTTCCCTCTTTCCACCTTAATCCATCCCTAGTGCTGTCCTGTAGTAAGGTTTTGATGGGACTATCCCTGGGCAGAGGCTCACATTAATCAGCCCCCTTGTTCAACACTATGGCTGACATAATTACAACCTGCGTACAGCAGTTATTCAAGTCGAGTCCTTGTCACTCGTGGTGCAAAAACTACACAGCTCAGATCCCCAAGGAGATTTCCTTATCACACAGAACAAGGGCTCACAGGAGTTGAAGAGAATAGAAATGGGGAAATGTCTGTTGGGAACGTTGTACAATCTGTTTGAAAAAAAGACATTTGTACGAAGGCCAAGGGACAAAAGATGAGCATTGTGCAAGTTTCTGAAACTGTATGGGACGTTTTTAAATGGCTGCATTTGATTTTTGTGAAGCAGCCATGTATTATTAAGCTGTATTTCAGAAAGTCAGGTAGCCTCTTTTATTTCTTTGCAATCATTCCACAGAATCCTTTCTAAAAATTATGAAGTTGTTCTTTTCTGGATTTCTGTAGATGTATGCATATGTTTTAGCAGAGATTATACGAAAGACTACCCTAAGATAAAAGAAAAATACTGATTACAAGCTGGCCACAAACCAATCAATGCTTCAAGAGTTTTAAAAAAATCACAATGAAGGCACAAAGCAATTTTACTATCATGTTAATTCCAATGGCGTATCAGGAAATAATGCTTTTGCATCTTCCAGGTTCATAATTTGCATCCTATGTGTTTTACAAATCATAAGATCAATTTGTTTTCCTGCCAGTCTGTACATTATGGATATATTTCTTATTAGGTTGAACTAGTGCAGCTGACAATATTGCCCCAATTTGTTTTGTGAATTTCGAGCAAAATCAACTACCATATGATAGTTTACTGGGTGAAATGAGCCATGGAATCCAGTTGTGCTATTTTTTATGTCTGCTATGTTTCTAGTGGTTACATTCAATGTTTACATTCATGAGATTTTGTTTTGTTTTGTACTTATATTGTCATTTTAATACTGTTTTTCTCCTATTTCATCGTCTGAATCCATTTTAGTGTGTCTTTATTTTACTAATCTACTTACTGTTCTGCATTACCAATCTGCCACAGGCTGCTGTATTCAAGGTCTCTGAGCATGAATGAAAATCAACCATTTTTTAAAACTCATTTTATTTCTGATGAGAAAGAAGCTGAGTAAGCTTTCTTACAGTCCTTTCCAACTAGAATATCTTACTGAAGACTGAAGCTGTAAAGTTCCCAGTGGGCTACTCTCATGCAGCTTATAATGTTGCTAAGGAGAGTGTCTGTGCTTTGCTTCCAGTTCAAGCTGCAGCATCACCTTTGCTGACCTTCGTCCTCTCTTACAGTTATCAAGTTGCTGTTTTAGGTAATGAAGGCAGCAGCAGTTTATCTCTTTCTGTTTTTGGGAATGCAAGATAACAAGATTATCCACTCTTCCAAGTGCACTTTTTTTTCAAACACAAGTGCAGTTTATCATTGTATACCTTTAACATGCTAGTATATATGAAAGTATAGGTGTGGCAGATTTTTCATATAGATCAACAAAAAGAGATCAATAATAGATATGAAATTGCCTCTTATTATGGGAGCAAGAGGAGGCCATTTAGCCCTTGAACCTTTTCCATCATTTGGTGAAATTGTGGCTGACCTGCAACCTAACTCCACATATCCACCTCTGCACCACATGCCTTAATACCTTTGGGCAATAGAAATCTATCAACTTCAGGCAAAAAAATTTATAATGGATCTAGCATTGTTTGTCATTTGTAGAAAGGAGTTCCAAATTCCTGCCAACCTTTGTGGAACTGTTCCCTAATTTCACTCCTGAAAAGTCGGGCTCTAATTTTTAGTCATTGCCCCCTATTGCTAGAAGTTTCTCTCTATCTACCCCATCTGTTCCCCTTAACATCTGAGGAAATTTTATCAAATCATTCCTTAACGTTCTAAATTACAGAGAATATAGCTCTAATTTGTGTAATTTCTTCTCATAATCTAACCCTAGGAGGCTTCTGTTAAATCTACCTGCAATCCCTGGAAGGCTGTATCCTTCCTACAGTCTGGTGTCTAGAATTAATCACAATACCTTGATTACTTTGCATTGCAGTGAGTGTGATTTATGTTTCAGGGGTAAGCTTCAACTCCTGCACTGTCTTGGATTTCATAAAAGCCAAATTTTGCATTTTCCTTTCCTTCCAATGTTTTTCAGGTATTGCCATTAATTAGGCATGGTCCATTTATTCTCTAAATCTAACTTACCCAAAATTCTGATGCCTGACATCTAGCTCGCACCAAGTTCTATTCACCTATCACCTCTCTACTCATGTACCTACACAGACACCTAAATTGTAGCAGAGTAACAATTTTAAAATTGGCATGCATGTATTCAAATCACTTCGTAGCCTTGCGGTTTGTGATACACCATCAATTAAGCCAATTATTTATATACCTCAACCTGCCACCAGCCTGATTAAGTACCTTTGGACTTGGAAATTGAGGCAGTCTGCCTGGTGGGTTGGTGTGGGGGGCAGAAGGTCTATATGCCCCAGTCTAGGGGAAATTGGGGACACATATGGGTAGCATAGACGTGGCCGTTGACAGCTACCACCCTGTTCTTACCTCTACCCCACCCCCCGGCACCCCTCTTCCCTGTGACTACACCATCCTGTATTGCCTAGAGGCAGCCGACCAGCCGTGGGACTAAATTGGTTGAGAAGCCTGCTCCTCACCACTGAAGTGCCTGATTGACACCTAATCCAGGGGACTTTCTCTTTGGTGGAGGCAGCATCCTTAAAGATGTCCATGCCCAAACTTTGCCTACAAAAATTTGGAACTTCCAGCAGTTATCTCTATATTAGTTAACGCTCATGAAGCCAGATGTACTGAGGATTTCCAGCAATATTTGTTGTTACTTCTGGTTTCTAGAAATGATGTTATTTGCCTTTGAAGTACCATCAGAGGTGCTGTACAAAGCATTAATCATTAACATATATAAACATTTATTTAATTACCCCTTTCCACTCCCATCTCTTCCATACACACTATGTTATCTGTCACATGCATGATCTTTGAAGTTCTCTCCTTCGTCTTTTTTTATCTCCGTTCTTTTCAGTGCTTTGTTCTAGTTTTGTTCAGTAACAGCCCTTTGAATTGCTTTGGGACATTTTGCAAGTCTTAGCTAATTCAGCAGGTGCAAGGGAACAGAAACAGGGAATATTGTCATAATGAAACGAATACGGAAATTTGCTGGAAAGGCTCAGCATGAACTGAGGAAATTCTAAGGAAAGGTCATTGAACCCAAAACGTTAACTCTGATTTCTCTCCATAGATGCTGCCAGACCTGCTGAGCCTTAACAGCAATTTTGGTTTTTATTGTGATAGTAAAAGATGGGTTGGAGGAGAGGTTGAACTATCTTCTTGTATGGCTGGAAAAAAAGCTTGTAAGAGCAGCAACATATCTGCAAGTTTATGTCACTATACTCTACCATTTGAGGGAGGGTATTTGGCTCAGAACCCTTTTAACAAAGGACTAGATACATAGAACTAAAAGATGGAACAAGGCAAAAGTATAAAAAATTAGATACTTAATATAATTTAATCAATTTCATACAGGATTATTCCAGGGATGCACAAAATATCTATATTGATCATCTATGCATGAATACCATGAAAGAGAAATTTTAATTTATTGTTACCTTTTTAAAATTTATATTTTATTGTATTTCCTCCATGATTCAGATTTAGAAAACGGAAACAGAATTTATAAGTGCTGGAGTCTCAGAGGCTTCTGTTTATGTTGAAATTTTACCCTTAAATATTGTAGCATGTAATATTTGATTGTTTACTTTTAAAACACTTAAAATAGTATTTTCTTTCATTTTTAAAAAGAACATCTATCTTGAAAAATGTACTTGTCTTTTTGAATTTATTTAACTTGCATTTAGATCTGAAAATTAGTGTGTTGTTCCAACAAAGCATGTAGATGAAGTAACATTTTGAAATGGTCCCAGTAGATCAAAAGTTCAAGTATTTGCGACTTCAGATTCTTAAGGTTGAATCTCGGGAGTACCTGACATGTCAGGTTGCTTACTACATTGTATAGTTCCCAACTTAGCCACTGGGTGGAGGTTCAGACATTAAGGAGGTTTGACTATGACAGCAATCATAGCAAGGGTTCAGGACACACAGCATCCTCATTTTGGACGGAAGAAATTGTCTGGTGAGAGAACAAAATGGGAGTGTAGGGTTGAAGCAGAACTATGTTTAAATATTCAATCACTCTCTTCCTATTTTTTTTCTCTCCTTAAAAGAGGAGCCCTCCTTTTTATAGTTTTACATCCAATGATTATTCTTGAAGAATATGTTGACGTGCAAATTGTTACTTTCACTGCCAATGTTTCATTCACTCTTTAATGACCTCTTTTATGAGGCTTTCAGGTTCTATATGATATATGCAAACCTAATCATGCCTAATTGTTGCAATACCACTAGCCTAATAGTCAACACGATGGTTATTTAGGTAACTTAAATACAATAATTGCCCTCCCTCCTTTTGCTTCAGTTCTCACTTCCTGTTGGATTTTCTCGGTTGAATTGTTATAGTTTATACTTACATTTTAACGGACTGTTTTTATTAAAGATTATAAATGCGGAATCATCTATAAAATGGAAATTAAAACACTATGGCTACAGTTTAAAAAGTGCTGATAGTAATTCAGTGTTTTTTTGGGGAAAAAAAATTAGGTCAAACTGTGCTGAGAACATCCGCAAGCATATCCTACACACTGGCAAACATGAGGGAGTACAAATGTACAACTGCCCAAAGTGTGAGTATGGAACCAATACTCCATTGGAATTTCGCAATCATCTCAAGGAGCATCATCCAGATATTGAGAATCCAGATCTGGCATATTTGCATGCAGGTAAGACTCAACATTATTTAGACTTCAAATTCTCTTTTTTTCTCTGGACTGCTTTATTGATAGCCACAATACAGACTTGTAGGGTTGCCAGTTTTGTTTGGACATTTTCTACCTGGAGGTTTTCAATATGTGACCTTCCTATAACTAACCTTAGCCCAAATGGCCTTTTTACAATTAACAAACAAATGCTCAAAAGAAAATGAGGATAAAAACACACTTGCACATTCAGAATTTCCCAATTTTTTTTTCTTCATTTGAGTTTTGAAATAACTTTACAGAGGCCAGTATCCCACCACCAAGTCACCTTTTATTTAAACGTGGGGAGTCCTTGACACTCTTTCAGTTCTCTCAGAGCCAGCTTTCAAAGTGAAAAGAACCCCTGACACTCCTGTTTATATCTGTCAGCCAGGGCTCCCTGATTGGACCAGATTAACAGTCCCAATCAAGGAACTCATATTCTATAAGGTTCACCTTATTACAACTACTACACGTTTATTTGGAACAGTGTTCAGGAAATTAACTGTCACTTCCAGTAGACTCCAGGACATTCCTGGAGAATTGGCAACCTTACACAAGTGGCATGCATGCAACATATCAGATTAAGTCATGATTTTAAAGCAGAATGAGATGGTCATGAATTTACAAAATGGTTCCACCAGATGACCTGTGTACTCTTGCTTCCAATCTAACAAACCTGGGGAAAAGCCTTGGGATCCAATTATGTTGAGTTGTATTAATTTTCAAGATCAGTATTTTCATATGGCTTCTTCTTCTTTATTTATATTTTGTGTATTGTCATGACAGCAAAGGACATTTTATATTGGCAAAATTAGCAGAAGAGTTTAGTCATCCTAATGCAACATATGATGAATTTAATACTGACAAGTAATAATTGTAACTTTTTTTCACAAAAGGAAAGAATATGCTAATCCTTTGAAAGCAAAACTTAAGTTTTTCTTCCTAAACTGACCAGGGCTTAACTGGAGGTTAAGGATTCTAAAAAGTGTTTATATTTTATGAAACAAGGAAATGTGAGCTTAAGAAGGACTTCTAATTTTACAAAACAGGGAAAAGATTATTTAAGAGCATTAATAAATAACACTTTATGAAATTAACAATATTAGTAGAATATATCAGAGTTTAGAGCTCCAAATGTTCTTTCTGTCTCTGTCTCTCTCATTGTCTCTCTCTGTCTCTGGCATTCTTTCCCTATTATCCTCTGTGATTTTTCAGGACAAAACCTTGAACTAGCTATCATCTCATTCCCCAGTTTCCTAGCTGAGTGAAATTAACTCCATTGTCCTTGAAATAATTTTAAACCTGTTATTTATATTGGATTTGTCCATATAGTTCTACTGTATTATATGTATGAGATCAAAAATTGCAACTATTATTTACCAAAGTCTACCATCCAGTAGGTTGGGGCAGGAAACCCACACTGTGTCATATATGGAGGTCTTCTCATATCAACGCAGCAATCAGGTTTCTCATGCTGCACTGAAGTGCTAGTTTGCTGCACTATTAAATGGTAATGACCATCAATTGTGTCACTATGGTAAAGTCTGAGTTAGCAGCCAGCCACTTCTCTACAGTAAAAGCAAGTTATAATGGAAGAAAGAGAGAACCTCCATTCTTGCAGTGCCTAGGACAATCTCAAGGCAGCTCAATGGTTTACAGTCAATTAAGTAATTCTAATGTGTAATGACTGTTGTAATATCAGGAAATGTGGCAGTCAGTGTGGCACAGCAAAGCCCCCACAAGCCATTAGATATTGATGATCAGGCAATCAGTTTCAGGGTTGTTTTCTAGCTGTGGTGGAATACTTATTTCTTCAAATATTAGGTAGAGCAGTTTTGCATTTGTGATATCACTTCCCCAATAGTAAATGATCTGCAACTGCTCCCATTTACTCTAGCCTGGAAACTAAAGATAGGATCACCAATACCTAGAGGACAGTATCTCACCCATTATCTGTGTCCTTCAACTGAACAGTAAATGTGCAAAAAGGTGAATAAAGAATAGCAGAAAATAATACAGTTACAACAATGACAAGTAACAAAACTAGAAGTAACTGGAGGATCTGTTCATCAGATTACATCAGAGGCAATTTTCTGTAACAAATGTGAAGGGAACAGATTTGTGCAATGACACATGTTTAATTAGTATTATGGTAAAAGTTTGTCTGGGTGGGGAAGAGTGATCATAATATATAATAACAAGTTTAAAAGTGATGTGGTTAAGTCTGAAACTAGGCTTTTAAATTTAAACAGATTCAGTTCAGAAATATGGAGGTTGAATTGGCTGAGGTAGTTTGGGAAATTTGGACATGAGAAATGTGGGATCAGCCATAATCCTACTGAATGACAGGGCAGGATCAAGGGGCTAAACAATCTACCCCGTTCCTATTTCTTATGGTCTTATAGACTTAACTTAGTTTAAAAGATATGATAACGACACAGTGACAAACATTTAAACAATTCATATTTCTCAGTGAATATACATTCTTCTAAGAAATAAAACACTGCTGGGGAAATGGCACAATCATGGTTAACCAGTGAAGTTAAAGATAACATTAGATTATAATAAATTTACAATGTTGTCAAGAAAAGTACAAAGTCTAGAGATTGGAGGGTTTTATAAATTAACAAAGGATGTCCCAAGAAATTGATAGAGGAATAAAATAGCATTGGAGTTAATTGGCAAAAAGTATAGAAACAAATTGTAAGAGCTTTTCCAAGTACATAAAAAAGGAAGAGAGTGGTAAAAGTGAATGTGTGTCCCTTAGGAACAAAAATTGGGGAATTTAATATGATGACTAAGGAAATTATAGAGATTTTAAATAGATATTTTTCTAAGGACACGATAACAGAACAAGTAGGGAACCAAAAGTCAAAAGGAGAGGAGGAAGTTAAAATAATTAACATTAGCATGGAAAAGTGTTGAAAAAAATAATAGAATTAAAAGCTGTCAAGTTATATTGATTTGATGGCCTATAACATAGTGCTTTGCAAAAGGTGATTGCACAGATGCTGGTTTCATTGTATTGTTCATCTAGACTGCCTCAGAGTCTAGAACAGACCCCATGGATCGGAAGATAGCAATGTAATAGTGTTCTTCAAAACAGGAGGGAGAGAGAAGATAGAGAACTACAAGCCAATTAACTTGACATCAGGAACAGGGAAAATGCTGGACTCGGTATTATGAAGACTCTTGTAGGATTATTTGTTAAATCTTTTGGAGATTTTTTGAAGGTGTCACAGGGAGAATAGCTAAGGAAAAGCAAGTAGCTATGATATTTTCATTTTCAGAAGATATACACAGGAGGCCATTACACAAGATTAGGGTTCGTGGGATCAGAAGTAATATGTTGTCATGAATTGAAGATGGTTTAACAATGGAAAATAGACAGTAGAAATAAACAGGCCATTTTTAGATGTCAGGCTGAAATTAGTAGAGTGTTGCAAGGTTCAGGACTCAGATATTTACAATCTTTACTAATGCCTTAAACTAGACGACTGATTTTATTCTATCCAAAATTGCTGATGAGACAAAGCTAGGTAGGAAAGTAAGCTGTGAGAACTAGACACAAAGGCTGTAAAGTGTTAGGAATTGGTTAATGATTGGGTAATAGGTGGCAGATTGAGTGTAATGTGGTGCTTATAATTTCAGTTGTGCACTTTGGTAGAAAGAATGAGTAAACGTTTTCTTTATGGAAGATACAAGATGGTTACTCGTTGATATTCAGTAGGGTTTGGGAATCCTTTTACACAATCATAAGTTTAGCAAGCAGTCAAGAATGTATGTGGTTTGTAAAAATGTAAGAGTCTTGAAATATCAGAAAAAGGAAATTTTGCTCCAATTGTGTTTGACATCGGTGAGATCACATGTAACATTGTGCATTGTTTGGTTGTTCTTACCTGAGGAAGCATATACCTGGGAGGGGGTTACAACAAAGTTCACTTGATTGATTCATGAATGAGAAGTCTGTCCTGTAGGAAGAAACTGAGCAGAATGGTCCTATATTCCCTGGAGTTTAGAAGAAAAGAAAGTGATCTCATGAAAGTATCTAAAATTCTTAGAGGCCTTAAAGTCTGTTTACTTGCAGAGTTTACAACTGTGGATCATAATATAAGGGACCAACACTTTGGACGGGGAAGAAGTGACATTTCCTCAATCGTAACAATGTGTATTTTTGGAATTTTCTACTCCAAAAGGTTATGGATACTCAGTTGATGAGTTTATTCAAACCTGGGAATGATCAATTTTTGGACAACAAAGGGAGCAAGATTTAAGGACTGGAAAATGTAGTTAATGTAGAAATTGTAATTCTATTCAAAGGTGGAGTGGTCTTGATTAACCATGAACCTTCTGCACCATTTGCTAATGTCCTTAATCTATGGTATATGTCTTCCCCCTTTACATATTGTACTACCATTTCCGAGAAATATTCAACCAAAAATATTTGCTTCAAACTCAAAGCTTTGTTAGTTCCTGGCTATGCTGTCAGTTCAGACAGGTTAGGTTCTTCAAAGATAAAAATTTAGTTTTCTCTTTGAGTATCAGAATGATTGACAGCTTGTTGCACATGTCTGTCAAAAAAATCAGTTTATAGTTTGTGCCTTAGATAAAATATGCACTTAGAAAAATGCTTTGAACTCTTGGGGAACAGAAGTAAGTGCTAGTGTTGCACCAACTGCTTGTCTTTTTGTCTATAGTGAAATAAAGCTTTAGAGTTGTTGCAAGAAAACTGGTTAAACCCACAAAATTAGAATGTGTATCATACAGGGCAGACTTATCACTTTTTTAATCTCATGTTTTCTCGAATAATCTTTATTCTAGCACATTCTCCTTTCCATTCAGATGCCCCCACATACCCGCCACAGATCTGTCCTTGGTATTTCGTCCCATGCCCCGCCTCCAGCCTGTCCACCAAGACCCCTAATCATGATGAAAATGCTGTACGCAAGAAATTTAACAGCAAAAGAAAGTTGTTGTTCGTA